TGGACGATTAAATATTGGTAACGTTACTTAGAAACAAGGATGATATTTTAAAAATGTATATATTTTTGTGGTCCATGGAAACAGATAATGTTTATGCGTGCAGGCAATCATGTTTTGGTCCACAACCAATTTTTCTAGAATTTTATAAGGGACATTTCACTCACTATATATGCTAGTACATTCTAGAATTATTGGACATTATCCAGAATTTAAGTTGCGCAATTTCTATAATTATGTTTTACGAGAAAATTTAATTTTGAGAATTTTTGACAGACAGAAACTAGTTGCGCTGTAAACATGATAACTCGACAACATATACACACAAAATCTAACTTGTATTATGATTTCATCTTATGATTTTTCCCCTCAGCCTCTGGCCCCGATTTTCCAGACAGTAAATCATAGACAATTTCTACTTTTTCATAACCCCCCCCCCCCTGTTTAAACTTCCTGGCAGTTTGGGGGAGCTGAGTCTCCCTTTAGATTTTTATCAAGACAGAAATAATCTTTGTTAATATCACGTTTTTTTCCAATCTAATAAGATTTGTACAATAAAATTACAGTTGATTTTTTTTTCTGTGTTGGCGTAGTGTACTCAGGTGAATAAGATGCTTGTGATGTTACTCTGAGTGTATATCCACACCGGGCAAGCTTCAAAAATATGCCTGACCACGGTGGGAATCGAACCTACGACCTTTGGAATACTAGCCCAATGCTCTGCCAACTGAGCTACGCGGTCAGGTCGGTTCGAGTTTGTGATATTTCGGAACCGAATCTAGTTCCTTCGGTATCAATTATTCATATTTCTATTCAATTGTTCAGAACCGAGTAATGATAATTTTCCTTAAATTCAGGATAGTATTCTGACTAATGAGCCCTGTAGAGATTGTATTTTCTATAAAATCACCAAGAATGCTGGAAATATGAATACAAAAAAAATCTGCGGTTCATGCCCCAACCAAAGCCTTTGAAGAACTCCCCCCTCCCCCTTGTTAAAATTTTAGGACTACACCAGTGGAGACGGGGTTTCGAATTTGTAGAGGGAGCCACCATCCCAGTTTCAATCACGGGTGTAAAATTACGTTAATCACAGCTCGTTGTCTCCGTATTTTCTTGGAAGTTCAGGATCATTGCTCCTCAAGAGCGTAACCCCTTAATTAATTCATTGGGAAGTCTGCCAATATATCGTGTTTTTAAAATTCTCATGGATTCAATTGCAGGGACAAAAACTATACAGAGACAAATATTTGAACATTTTTCTTCGAATCAATAACATAACGATTAACGGTATACTGATTGATTGGAATCAAAGATGAAGTATGGAAATCATATAGATCTGCATTGGGACATAATGTGTATATGTTTATGTGCATTTATATAAACTAGAAGAAGCGAATAACTAAATACCTTAATTATACTAGATAGTCCCATCAGTTCTTAACTATAGCTGATCTTCCTAGAGGTTCTGAAAGAGAAGTCTGTTTATATTGGTCAGAAGGGATCCGAAACTAAACTATAGCTTTGTTTATATTGGATAACTCTATTAATTCTAAACTGTTCTTCCTAGGACCAGAAAAGGAAGTCTCTTTATATTTGTCAGGAGGAACCTAAACTAAACTAACTTTATTTATATACTGGATAACTCTATCAGTTCCAAACTGTTCTTCCTAGAAGTCCAGTAAGGGAAATCTGTTTATATATATTGGTAAGAAGGAAACCGACACTAAACTAGCTTTACTTATGCAGGATATAACTCTATTAGTTCTAAACTATTCTTCCTATAAGACCAGGAAAGGAAGTCTCTTTATATGTTTGTCAGGAGGAACCTAAACTAAACCAACTATAACTCTATAACTACAACTGTTCTTCCTAGAAGTCCAGTATAAGGGAAATCTCTTTATATTGGTCCGAAGGAAACCCAAACTAAACTAATTTTATTTATACTGGATAACTCAGTCTTTCAGTTCTAAACTGTTCTTCCTAGAAGTCCAGTAAGGGAAGTCTCTTTATATTGGTCCGAACGAAACCCAAACTAAACTAACTTTATTTATATACTGGACAACTCTATCAATTCTAAACTGTTCTTCGTGGAAGTCCTGTAAGGGAAGTCTCTTATATTAGTCAGGACGGAACCTATATAAACTAAACTGCCTCTATTTATACTACATTGCTTCATCAGTTCCCAACTGTTCTTCCTAGAGGTTCAGTAAGGGAAGTCTCTTTATATTGGTCCGAAGGAAACCCAAACTAAACTAATTTTATTTATACTGGATAACTCTATTAGTTCTAAACTGTTCTTCCTAGAAGATCAGAAAAGGAAGTCTGTTTATATTGGTCAGAAGGAAACCCAAACTAAACTAACTTTTTTTATTTATGTCACTGGATAACTCTATCAATTCTAAACTGTTCTTCCTGTAAGTCCTGTAAGGGAAGTCTCTTATATTAGTCAGGACGGAACCTAAACTAAACTACCTCTATTTATACTACATTGCTTCATCAGTTCCCAACTGTTCTTCCTAGAAGTCCAGTAAGGGAAATCTCTTTATATTGGTCCGAAGGAAACCCAAACTAAACTAACTTTATTTATGCTGGATAATCAGTTCTAAACTGATCAGTCTTCCTAGAAGTCCAATATGGAAAATCTCTCTATATTCAGTAGTCCAGCGACAATATGTTACTACAGGAGGAAACTAAACTAATTAATTTATACCCATAGATTGCTTCATCTGTTCACAACTGTTCTTCCAAGAGATACAGTAAGGGAAACAGTCTCTTAAACTCTCTTAATATTGGTTAAGCGTGTCTAGTACTTAATTAACGCAGCAGAAAGACGCATGTCCTCCTTATTCATGCGACTACGGCAAATTATATAATCATACATACTGTATAGAGTTATACCGCAGGCGTATAGGTTTCTGTAAATCACAGAGTCGCCACTACTGTTATAAATACTTTTCAAGCAAAATGATGTTTTGGAAAAGGTTTGATCACGGCTATATACATACATCTTGCTTAGAAAATCTAAAACAATTACGTATCTGTCTCTGCATGCCCGACGTCCAAGGCAAACGCTCGTATGTTAGACATATACTCTCATGCAAATCTAACCGCGCAACAGCTACATTGCCGATTATCCAAACACAAGTCACGACTCAGGAACAAGCGGAGACGAAAAGGTTTGCAATGTAAGCAAATTCACGACCTATTTCACAGGATATATTTTATGTACACAGAGAACATAGCGAGTAAATTGCCAGTTCAATAGCCATAGATCGCCAATTCTCTTTCAAATGCGCCGACAACAATCTCCGTGACAGGATTAGGCATCGGGGGCGTGGCGAAGATGCTTCGGTACCCGATTGAGGTAAATCGTGTCAACAAAACCTAAAGTAATTGCTGAAGGCGCTGACGAATAAAACATTCTACCTATGCCAAGGCGTCAAAGCTTCTTCACACATACACTAAAAGTTATTCCATAGGCACTTTGAATGCTTTTACAACATTTCACAGCGGAGTGAGAGCGAGGTATCATGTACATAGCGGCGAGGAATCAAATCAAACATACCGCCAGCATTGCCCACTAGGCCGCAGCTGAAACTGACCGCCTTGCTTTCGATGTAAACGACGTATACATGCCATGTTTTTTGACGTTTTGTATACAAGCCGTGATTTGAATGCCAAAATGTGTAAATGACAGTATAGCTCTAAAGCCACGACGTCTGCATGCATGGAAGAAATCTCTCGCGCTATTTTAACTATAAATCATATTTTTCCCACTCGGCTTTTCCAAACTTAAATACGCCGACGTGTACGCAACGATTAAGACTGGAAATGCTTATTTATACATATTATAATCCAAGCGACCTTGATTTACACAAGAGCTACTAAATTTGTAAATATTACCAAAAATATAAGAACTTTTCTATTCGAAAGTGTTTTTTTTGTAGTTTGCTTTTGGGCTTGACAAACTTTCCAAAAAGTACAACACAATTTTATGAAATAGACATGTATACTAGAATAAGCTATATGCGCATGCAGTACATATAAAATTGGTTTAGTTCAGGTAATTTTTGAGCAATAACTGATAGCTCTTACTGGGCTTCTATAAAGGACAGTAATGCTATATTCAGTATGTATTTTCACTCATGCGATTTACAACGGGGCATTAAAGTTACGGTGCATATAAAGTGGGTTTGATCACTAGCCGTTCACTCTCTGCTCAGCTTCCTGCCCGTCGGAAAGCCATTGAAATGATTTGAAAAGATCAAACAAGCGGGAGCCCTGATCTCCGACTGCGCTTGTTCAATCTCCATTACAGCAAAAAACAAAACATTTAAATATCGTTACACGTTTGAGACGCACCAATTCTCTAATGGCAACGAAGCAAAGCATTTCGTTGTATATATACGCGAGGTTATTTCTATTTCATCGCAAAAGATTCAAGTTATAAAATAGACACAAGTTACATATATTTGCATGGAAGATATTCGGTTTATGGCATTTACAATGCGAGTAAACGCTCAGCCGAAACATTATAAGGTCATGATCTGTTCCCAAATAGGTGGGGGTGTCGGAGTTATACCCCAGCCGGGGAAAATTGGAAGCTGGTCCGAAACAAACTATCTTTTCAATTGATATGACAGAATGCAACAAAGCTTGACAATACATTTGTACTTCTATTTTGTTATAGGCTATATACTATATATAGATCTATATTATGCATTTTCTATCACTTAAAATAATGTAAACGCAATATACTTCTAGTAGATTATACACCACAGTAGCTGTATGTATTTTCGACTTTCAAAGCGCATATTCATTATGTGAGTGTAAGTGAAATTTATTTATAAGTACCTTTAAATGCAGCTCTACGATTTACTATAGGGACACTTTGGATTACACGTATACTACATTTTTTATCTAACCTTGATAAGCGCAAAGGTCTCTCTGCCGATATTTGATAGTTCTAACCGATTCAGATTGTACTAAATGTATGCATTGCCAAATCTTATTGCGTGCCGACCAATATAATTATGTGTAATGACTCCTCGGCCAAAGTACAGTACAGAATCACACTAAATATTTCTTGGCTGTTGAGGGCCAGTGAAAGTAGGAAGTGAAACAATTGTCGGCCTTGTATATTCCATGCAACAGGCGTCGACGTTCAAGTGAAAGCCCTTAGCCTAGTGGAAGGTGGCCTTTCAGATGAAGGACATGAAGGGCTTTCACTGGAAACATTGACGCTTGTTGCATCCGACATACAAGTCCGACTATTGTACAATATATGGACATATGCTTTTCGACCAAAGTCAACTTGACGCGACCCTGAGGATGCCTTGAAAGCAACGGATGCAAAAAAGACAACATACATTCACGACAATATCATGATCTCCCAAAATTATACACCTCTCCCCAAATTCAACTCCGGTATATATAGATATTAAAGAGTCGCGCAGTTTCCCCCTCTTCCCAAGATAAGAGGACCGCGAGTCCCCCCCCCCACCCCCTCCTATCTTGCGCTTCGCGATCACATGACATATTAATCTCTGTGTGTCAGATGTCTGTAACCATATAAAGAGATCAAAGAGAATATGCCGACGGTAACGCCAACTTAAAGTAAATGTCAATCGAGTCTTTACGCGTACACACACTTACTCAGTCGTCCAAACAAACGTGGCTGCGGACCGTTGAGGGCAACCCCACGAAATCTTGCGAAGCAAATCTCGGCGAAGTTGCGCGTGGAAATTTGGATTTTGTATACAGTGTTATAAAGTCGACAATCACTTCTGGGCGCACTCGTATTCGCACCGTTTACACACGCTAGGCGGCAAGCGCTTATGTGAGATAGGAGCTCGGCCAAGCTAGAGTAAGGCAGGTGTAAAAGCATTGCTCCGTAGCTTGAGAGGAATACGAGAACGCTTGCATCTACGACAAGAGATCACATCAAAAGACTGCGGAAGCCAAAGGCAGTGAAATATTACGCGTGAGTGCGTCAGCACACTGCGAGGGGACTAGTTTACCGAAACGACGTGACTGCGAGGTCTTGGCAGTGCGATTTCACAGCCACGATACGTCGTACATCTCGACTCTGCAAGTTCTGCCAACGGATTTTAACAGTCTCTTTCGTATTCTTCAACAATAAAGAAATCTTTCCAGATGACTATGGGAGAGAATAGCGTATTTCCTCCGAATGGTAAGGCCGCCTCAAGGAAGCCGAAAGAATCTGCTGACAACTCGACTCATGCACATAGTTGCGTAGCCCGATAGCGCTAATTTTCCTGCATAGTTACTATACTCCTACAAACTTTATATCCTACTCAATCTTTACTATATATTTTCGCTTTATCGTTATAGGAGGAAATCCAAACTCGGCCTGTCTAGCTGGAAATACAGTGGTGAATATTTGCACCGGTTGTCATCAACCGATCGAAGATAGATTCCTTATGAAAGTCACCGAGGATCCGTGGCATGAAAGCTGTCTACAATGCTGCATTTGCCACACACAATTGTCTAGAAAATGTTTCAGCCGCGAGAGAAAACTCTACTGCAGAACCGACTACGAAAAGTAAGTAGGATTTTGTATTTGTCTTGGGGTCGGCGTTTAGTGTTGGTAGAGTGCGTATGTATATTTAAGTCGGTATACATTTATAGACACTTTGCTATCCCGACCACGACAAACTATATCATCCATTGTCCACGAGATCAACTTGCCTTATTCTAGAACACAAGCGCTCGTGTAATTAACCATACCGAATTCCCACCCAACTCCCATTATTGCCATGCGAAAGCTTTACTATAGTAAAGATAACTTATTAATTGGGCTAAGCGTGCTGAATCTCTTGAGTTGGCAAAACGTCAAGGCTATATACAGGACTCCGCTGGAACGCTGTGGGTTTTACCAAGCGCTGCAAGAGCAAATCATTGAATGCGCTACATTGTTATATCTCTATAATATACCGTTAGAAAAAAGCTCAATCTCTGTTCAATTTATCATGCTTCGCGGAGGTTTGCATTGTTAAAATTCTCTTTCATGCCTAGCGGTTTTATTCAAGCGGTAATTCGGGAACAAGCGAACGCAAAAACCACAAATGTTGTCTGGGGAGCAGAAATCTCTATTGGAGTTCAGAAACATGTACACATATAATCTTATAGGCATATACATCGCTGGCAAAACAAGTACAAAGTTGCGAGATGATAAGAAATTATACTATTTACATATATCCTGCTACAAACTAACATGCAACCTCGTCTGCCTAAATTTCTTCCGAACGCCAAAGGCAACAACATTTCTCTGCATTACTGAAAGTCTTGTTCTTTCAAGTAAAATTGTACCCCTCAACACAAGATATTCGTTACAATGAGAGCAATTACTACAAGTACAAAATTATAGGCTGCATGAATTCGCCCAAAAGATCACGCGCGATAAATGAAGTCGCCATACGCCTATACAAGTATAAACCGTAATTTTGTCTGGGGTTTTAATCCATGCTGTTTTTGCGGCAAAATATTATTCATAACTTTATAAAGATATCCCCAGTTCAATGAATGAAAATCTTTGTACGTTTTAAAGCGTATTTCTAGTATAGTATTGGCGATAAACGCGCGCTGCACGCGTCGCTGTGAACAATCACTTTTACAATTATATACCAATGCATTTGAGTTGAGATCGCGCGCAGTTCTTTCGGAATTGATTCGCCTTTTTAAACATTTTATGAAGATATATACGAAGGTGATTTCAAGCCCACGAAAATTCCATTGTTGGCGTGGCCTGCTTAGTGTATAACCAATATGCCATGTTAAGCAAACAGTATTCAATGGAGGAGTTTATCTAGAGGGCAATAGATTGCCGGCGACTTGCATGAAAGAAGATTATAGTGTAGATGAATTATACCCGCGATATAAATCAGCGCTATTTCGCTAAGAGAAGCTTCAGTGTGGGGTAGCTTTCATTTAATGATGTATAGTTTAGATAAAATTGAGTACCGGCGTCTCTTCAGCCACGGATATACATCGTGACTTTTACAATCTTTAATTCTGATCAGTTAATACCTCAATTTAAAACACAAAGCTCTCAAGTTTTAGAGATTATTGAGCAGCAATAGCCCTAAGCCGCACGCAGGATAGTGCTCTTACTTTCAACGGTGTGGTAAAAGGCACGGGATGTTTAAATAATTCGGAATTTCCGATCTATTATCAAGTTGGCTCCCGGCTTTGAAACGTGCATGGACAATTTGGCACTCGGGACGACACGGAAAACGGGGTAATCAATCGGTTTATCAAACAAACATTAAAAAATTCCCAGACAGGGACATTTCTTGCACGATTTTGCCGATACTTCGCCCCAAAACTAAAACTGATTAGTCTGTCGGTACCACGTATTGTACAATATTGAAATGTTCCGCGTTATACAATAGCCAATATATCTTTTCCGTGTTTCTCAGCCGGGCTATAGAATAGTGGCATACTAAAACGACTACGATTATGTTAAGGATTTCAAAGATTCTCGGCTACAAAAATAGCAAATTTGCCTGCACAATTCATGTTTAAGTCGAAGCCCACTGTCCAATATTGCGTGATTTTCAAATGTACAAACACAACTCAAAATTTTCCGTGCGTTGGACTTTGGTATATATCATGCGACCATGATTTATATATAGTCATGCATTAGAGGATTTTAAAGATTCTCCCTGAGAATACTAAATTTGGCCGCACGTTTGTTGACGTCAAAGCGAATTGTATACAATATTGTAGTTCCGTGATCTTCAAATGCGCAAACACAGCCCAATAATCAATAGAGTTTCCGCCGTGGTTTAAAGCCACGGCTTTAGCATAAAACTAATACACTGTTTAAATAATCTGTAACAATTTATGCTTAATATATACGAACACATGCAAGATATTGCCGGTAGAAATTGTCAAATTGAAGATTTATAAAACCTTTAAATATCGGTTCCGAATTGTTAAGTCCTTCTACAGTCTCCGGCTTTAAGAGGCATTGATGCACTCTCTTTCACGATTTTAGCAAGAAAACCATTTTATGTTTATAAAATGATATTATGAAGAACGTGATGTTTATATGGAGAACTATGACATTCTAAAAATTGTAATATTGAAAGTGTACAATACCTTTCTTTTGAGATGGCATCCCTGATTGCCATAAATTATACTGCATATGAGCACGTGAAATCCTTCTGCATGTCATATCGAAGCACGTTAGCTTTAGAGGTCCATATAGGCATTGACTGCATCGTTTCAGGAGTTTTCCAAGATATTGGCAATGTTTCTATAAAAAAGGCAACATTTATGAGATTAACAATATTCATTGGCGACTTTGTGTTTTGAGTGAGGGAACCTCCCGACACTGCAATGTCAATGGGGGGAAATTTTCACGATCGAAGATGCGTGCACGGATAGTTTCAGTCCACATAAAAATATCGACATATAACTATAACATTTAAGTGAAGCCTGGATTAAGTCTTTACATGGTTATTTTTACAATTTATTGAACAAGTATATATAGGCTTCCATTATAGGGAATCATAATATATACTGATAATCTCAGGCCTGGCCTTGGTCAAGACAGAATCCTTTATTACACAAATTCGAATGCTCTTGTTTCGAATGTATGTGTTGCTTTTCAAAAAGGGCCGCTATGTATATTTTACCCATTAATGTACATTGTCGATAAATTTGTCCCAAATTCCATTTAGAAACATATGGTTAACATTATATGGACACGTATAACGAAGCAAAACATTTGTAAGCCAAACGCAAAATGCATGCATCGATTGTATAAGCTGAAAAAATGTTGGCCCGTCTCACATGTACAAATCAACACAGGATATTTTTGGTGCATGTACATATATAATTTGTTCCGCAGTATTTTGGACTTCCTATATACTGGCAAAGGTTTTTCACAGTGTTGATTTTGAAGAAATGTGTGTGATCCAAAATATTCTGTTTCCTTATTCCGCGGTTATTAAGACGATATACGAGGATCGTTTACTTTTCATTCTGTTTAAGTTTAATAGACTTGTTGGATTTTCAAAACAAATTTAAAATCTGCTCATATATTGATATATATTTACTCCGTTCTTTGGTAGCGATTCTGGCAGTTGGCTTGCCTTTCAAGATGGACGACCTGCATGGGTTTAATCGTTGGTCGGACCTCTAAGCTCTATATGCTCAAAGTCTTGACATAACAGAGGAGAACGATTGAGCTACACCATTACATTGACACCAGTAAATGATTAGACTTTCGCGTCTTCTCGGATAAGGACGCTAAATCGTATAGCCTATAATGCTATATAGGTATGCCTCGGATCCCCTATCAATTTGGCAATAGCGTATATTGGGAAATCCGCTCAGCAATGAGTCAGAAACTCGATAAACTCAATTGTGAGATGAAACGCAAAAAGTAAACATAACACATATAGACAAAACTCCTGAATTTGTTCTATTCGTTCATACGAGACTATATGAGTACAATGTCTCTGACTATACATTTTTCCATGTGACTTATTCATAACGAATGAGAAAAAGTGATTTCTATATATAACAAGGGAATCGAGAGAAATTTATATACAAAATTCGACCGACATCGTGAAATGAATACAATAATCAATATATGTCAATGGTATACAACTTCAATAAAGGCTCAATATAAATTTAAAATATTATCTTACATATATAATTATATTTAAAATATCTAATAACGCAATGTCGTGCTTTACGACGCATATTATATAGGCCTACATCAACTAATTCATAGCAAAAAATATTGTTTAAAACACTATAGCATCGCTTATATGCTTATAACGAACGCTGACTTTTATTTTAATTTACATAAACAATAAATTAAATTGTATGACCTTCATTTAATACATCTAATATATACAAAAGCCGACTATCTCACAAAATCTATACGTCTATTTTAAAAGCAGGATATAGTACCAAGCCTTTTTTTAAGTATTTGAAGAATTCAAATATTTTGAGAAGAGTTTAATTCGACTATTTTATACTGTCATATATGATAGTATAGTGAACGCGACTTGTTCCCTTTGCAATAAGCAGTTATTAAGATTTATATATAATCAATTCATAACAAATTCGCGCGTAGTTCCCGAAGTTTCTATAATAAGCGTAGACGAAACAATTCAAAGCTAAGTTCCCGGCCCCTGGGGAGCTTTTTTTCATATATACTATATAGCGTGTGGCAGTTTGGACGAAACGAAATGAATTTGAAAGAGCGCTCATGCAAATTTAACCTATTCACGCAGCCGGCAATTGTAATGTTTCAAAAAAATTAACTCTATCAATAACTAAAGATTTGTAACGTTGAGAATACAATGTTCTTAATCAAATGAATCCCGGAATCGAAGTTATCACAATCAGAAACAAATTAAGACCGGAGACAGCTCAAACTATTCTGCCATTTTGAAAGCAACAGGGGACGCATTTGGTCCCTGCATGCGCAGCGATAATTATACGCCATCAATGCTAACCATTCTGACACGGTTTACTTAAACACTTCAATGTTAAGTGCTTAACTGTCCCATTTGTCAGAATGTATAGGAACACTGCAGTAATATAAAGTTGCAAATATATATAGTGACATAATTAAGCGTCCCAACTTCGAGAGGATGATCGATAGCGTTGCTTTATTCGTGACATGCGTTGAATAGGACATGCTTCTAAGCTACAAGTGGAAATTGATTAAAAGTAAACGATCATTTGGCTCGCATGCATCAATGAATATATATGTAAGCGCATAGTCTTCGAAGACACCGCTGCATGAAAAATGAAAATGAAAAATTGAAAAATTTAAACTAAAGTCAGATTCAATCTCCAAACACCTCCAAACATTGGCCAACATTATGGGCCATTTACGATTGGCATTCGATCTGACGCCACTAAACTATTCCTCCGATTTGAACAAGTCTTTGTAAGACAACTCTGTCTTTGTAAGACAATTCTGTGCTGACTATTATAAGGTGGGATATGAAGAATAGGAGAAAACACGAGAAAGCACACATATACAGTCTTCTCAACGAAATTGAGCTTTTTTATTCATGATAAAAGGGATGTGGAAATCATGCTTTACCACTTGGGGTAAGCATAGGACCTACTACAAGCTGGGGCAAATGCTACAGTACTCTGGCAAGCAGTTACTGAAAAAAAAATGCCCTGAATTATTGAAATACGCTCCGAATAAACTGGATACAACGGGAAATAGTGACTATCTGATATACACCGACGCATTTGAATAATTTCATATAAATTTCTGGGAAACGTCTGAAGATTATAAACTAACTGAAGAAAATTCGGTTGGATTGTAATATCATTCTTATATGTCTAAACGCGTTTAATATATAGAAACAGATTTACTAAACAGCGTCAACAATATTTTTTAAACCAAGCCTCAAGAGCGTGCGATATATATAGGCTATATCTGTTATGAAATTTTATTATTTTAATAATTTCAAGACACACTGCTCTATTGCAGCGATTATATAATTATCCTTATTTTTCAAATTAAGAACAAAACGAGCAAGCTTGATATTAGAAAATTTAGGGTACTCATATTGTCACACTTAGTCATGTACTGTACAATATTTAATCGTGAATAACTGATAAAATGAACAAAAAATTAAATCTCCCTTTTACTGAATACTAGCATATATGAGGCAGAGTGATTGGCACTATCAAAGATCCTACGATCAAAATGTGCGTCGTTTAAGCGTATAAACAATGAAATCCTCTGCGAAGTTCGTATAAACACAATTATCCTTGAGAATTTTTTGCGTCAAAATTCGATCCCATGCGCGCATGCAACTGGCCATGTGTATGATTGCAAAGCCAAAGGGCTGCAGATATCAGGGATCTTTGCCTTTAGGCTCTAGAAAGGAGGGAACGTATAATTTCACAATGTTTAAACCTTATAAAGCGCCCTAAACATCTGTTCTAAGTTATAGCGTGAGAAATAAAAATTCCATACATTTAAATTACTTCAATGTGTGCGAGAGTGGATATGCAATATTGTTGCGCGCGAGCACGCTATTTCATATGCCTTTAATAAAAAGGCCTGGACTTTTATGGCCAAAATAAATTTATAAATTATAGCGGTTACATGAAGTTCCTTTCTTAAAAACTTATCATCATAAACGTCTGAAAACTATCTTAATATATGCATAATTTTTTAGCTAAGATTTTTATGCGACAAACGGCTTGGCATTTTCCCAAAATTTCGGAGCTAAAAAGTCACTCTAATATCTTAAGAGGCTATCTAATAGTTGCATATAACCATTCGCAAATTATGGAAATGGCTGAGGATTTTTGAAGATTTGGCTTTTGCCCAAGTTTGTAAGCTAGAAACACATCTTAACAATTGCATGAATTCATGACCTATAGCCCAGGCCTGCAATGCCAGTCAAGGTCTGGGACAAGAGGTGATCTACCTTCCTGCCTCAGACTTTATCTCTTTTCAAGAAAACATGCATATATGCCAAATTATATTAGAATTCGTAAGCATGTTATAAGCGTCTCGTCATAGCTCCTTGGCTGTGCAAATAAATTGTAGACACATCACTTCAAAGCGACTCAAGACTTACAATCGTTGTTTAGCAACGCACGACGCTCGCGTATTGGCAATAAATTACCCAAACTTAAACACTTGAATTATGGATGACATCTCTGAAACATGTAGTAATTAAAGTCGCAGTATTGTTAGCGTGTTTTTAGCGCATGTGCTTTTAACGTCTGTTGCTTGTGTTCAGTTCAGTGTACCCCTATATATAGGGAGTACAGTTCAGAACTGTTAGAGCTATCCAGTATAAATAAAGTCAGTTCAGGTTTTTAGTAACACTGGATCAATAATGGATAACTCTTGTTGGATCTCTATAACTGATACTTAAGCTATCCAGCTTAAATAAAGTTAGTTTAGTAGTGCAACACTGGATTAATAGGGGGTGATCTTTCTGGACCTCTATGAAGAACAGTTTATAGAACAGATAGAGCTGTTCAGTACAAATCAAGTTTGTTCGGATAAGTTTCCATCTGTATAGTAACACTGAAGCGATCGACATTACGACAAAGAGTGTAGGACTGATAGAGCTATCCAGTTTAAAGTTACTTCAGTCAAGCTTTCGGTCTCCTCTGACTGTAATATAATATAGCAACAAAGTGTGTCTTATACATAGGATCTCTAGAGAGAAAAATGAACAGTAAACATCTGATATAGTGATAGTATAAAGTTAGTTTAGTCTATAGGTTTCCTTTTAACCGAAGTAGTACAGGGTTACCCATATCGGACCCCAGGAACAGTATATAACGGTTAAAGCTATCCAGCATAATTATTTTGAAACCGATCTGCATTTATAGACAAGGCAATGTATATGTGTAAGAAATGCAAGAACAGGGAAATGCGTGGGACTGTGCGGAGGTTCACCAAAAATGACTTATACGTTTAAATCGCATTTTCATAACTTATACATCATTTGCATCATGCAAAAATACTTAGTAGAAAAATTGCTTCGCAAAACGGTGTATACACCCGTATATGTCTCTTTGTTCAGTTCTGATATCAGCCAGTCAACTTGTTGACACAACCGCGATCACATAGATCAACAAAAACTCGCAATAACATTTCATTTCAAGTTGCCGAGCGACTAATCTTGTCGAACAGCTGAACAAATGTCGATAAAAACACTACACTCTGCTATGACACCGTCTAAAATATGCTACTTTGCTCTCAAAGTCAGGATATATATTTTGTCGCAAAAATGAGAAAAATAGCGGAATCGCTCTTTTCGTAAACTTTTTCATCTTAAAAACAGCGTGACTGGGCGATCGGCCTGTCAATAGTTTCAAAAACGAGCACATTCTCACGGTGCTAATTTGCATTTGCAAAAACGCCTCATTGTCATATACGCGCCGTGCGAAAACCATCTGCCATGCCAGAAATTTTCCACATGCTCTTGCGATTATATGTTCCCGCGACTCGGGACTTGTTATATCGTCAGATAGGAACCCCTAGTAGTCTTCGAGATAAGCCGGGTACTTTATTTTCGGACAAAACATGAACTCTCCCGACCCGCGAGGCGATGACTGTTATTAATATAAATATAAAAAATTAAAATTCCCCCGCAATTCTGCGATCTATAAAGTCATAAAGTAGCGTTTATTTTCATCGGAAAAGGTTGTAAGCGGTCCCAAACTTTTCCCCTAAGATATCCAGTATTGGCGGGGAATCAATTTAACTGGCCCTCTGATCTGAACCAACTTTATGCAGTTCTAAAATCGCTAGGAACCCTTTTCTAAGCTAACTTCATTTAGACTGGATAGCTCTATCAATTCTAAACTGTGCGCTGTCAACCTAGAGGTCTAGTAGAAGGAAACAGTAATTTGGTAGTCTAGACCACCACGTTCGAGATATGTATAAAAAACTGCTTACAAAATCTATCAACGTTGTCTGCATTTTGCCATACATCTTTCATTATTTGGAAGTGAATCGGTCGGCAATGGCTGGAAATATTTTTGTGAATACTATTACATAATATAGCTCTCTGTCGGAAATTACATGGCTGAGAAAAGGCTGCTTTGTGTGACACATAATTTACCGAATCTTAGAATCCTAATTTGATCAGGAACGCCATATAATTCCAGGATTCCACAACTTCCGAGTCCACACTTGGAAATCCGATGAGTTCAGTGTATATTTCGTGCTACAAAATCGTTATGTTTAGTTCGACAAGGGAGGAAAAGCGATTACTAGATAAGATTTCGTTCAGGAAAATGATAAAATCACGCTGGCTCCACAGGATGAGAGGCCATTAGACAACAATTGACGACGGGAAAGAAGACTTAATAGCGCGATTAGGGCGACACGCCAGCGACGAATTGTCGCTATTTTCGTATCATAAGTCACCTGGCGTTGGCTTATTTGGGGCTTAACGCACGGATTTTGAATAAAACGATTTTCTAAGTCCCGCGAGCTTTGTCTTTTCCGGGGATAAGTTGCGCAGTTGTTGTCATCGAAGGTTAATGGCGCAAATTCAAGGTCTTCTTTGAGCGATCTATCACGCCAACATGACTAAGAGCTGGTGGCCCTCCTAGACTGTAGAACGTTCATGTGAATATAGGGCAGGAAATTTCCAAAATAAACCCACCAAAGTTGGCTGGCAATTCCAGTAGGTTGATATCTGGCTGCCACCGGGGTTATATTTCTAACGAAATGCATGCAATTCTGAAACTTAGTTTATAGCCACTTTAAGTTTCCTTCTGTTGTAGCACTGGATCAATAGGCGATGACCTTTATTGGATCTGTAGATGGACGAGCTATATATATATCTTCTGTAAATACAGTTATTTTAGTTTATGTTTCTTCCTGTATATAGCAACACTAGAACAATAAGTGATAGCTCTGGGAAGAACGGTTGAAAACTGATAATGAGAGATCCAGAAAAAATAGGTTTATTTAAGTGCGGGTTTTAAGAAAAGTCTGCAAGCTTATTTCGTAAACTTAATTTTATAGGAACGTCAATAAATATGGCTTAATCCACAGTTATAACCTATATATAACTTTCAGCGCCCGAGATATTATTCCAGTTATATATCATCGAGCTAACGGTTGGGGGGCATGGGTTGGGTTATCATGACTTGGCCGAAATCTATGCATGTTATACATATGTATATAATGCGAATCACAGCAATCGGTCACTGAAATCGCGCCTATCTGAAAACCGTTTAAAAGATATCTATAGCTTCGCAAACAATGAGGAATTCGCGATAAAAACAAGCTAATCTGAATATCAAAGCAAGCCCGCCACACCAAGATTTACTCTGGGGAATGACATGATAAGATCTGTGTAAACACCGTCGATAAGTTTTGAGAGTCGTTTCCATCGGCGGGCAAACACGGTCAGAACTGCTAAACCACAGTTGGTAATTCTCTGAGTCAACAGACTGAAGCCTTTTTAAAACACGCCAGTGCGTGTAAGAAGTTTTGGATAACTTGCTTATTTGCTTGTTAGAAGGGATTAGCATTGCTTGCTTTTCGATGCTCTTTTCACGGTAAACATTTCTGTAAAATCGCGGAGACTCAAATCCGAGTCTTTGGAAAAGGTTTATACGTTGTAACACACACTTTTATCAAAGCCTTTTTCATCAAAGAAACATAAGAGGCTGTTTAAATTAACGGTTCTTGTCAACGTTTGTTGGGAAATGTTAGTTGATTAGGGGTGGGGAGTGGGGGTTGTTTATGGGGGGAAAGGTAGTACCTGGGGCTAGATCGCACCAAAAAGTTAGTGCAGCTTTCGAAAGTACTTCGAATTTGCGAAAATTCGACTTCGCGAATACGTTGGGTGGAAATAAAATGTTGCATATATTATACGAGCTGCGGTTCTCCGCAGGGCCGCCGAGAGAATTCACGGGGCCCGGGCAAACCTTCTCTGGGGGCCCCTTGACATCATTATTTTTAAGCTAGTCACCCGACTATAGACCTTAGCTAGACTGCATGTGGAGCTACTGGAAGGGGCCCTCAATTTCAAAAATGTTCTGACCAATTTAAAGAACCTATACTCATTAAGGTGGGGGCCCAGGGCAATTTCTCCCCCTGCCCCCCCCCCCTGACGGCCCTGGTTCTCCGTTCAGTGTAACTGTGAGATCAGTTGCATTTTCTATTTTGTGCCTGACTGAAATTGAAACTGCAAATATCTGGCTAACAACGCGCTCCTTGTATATATATCATGACTATATATCATCTAACTTTTTACTTTAAATGTTTGCATGGTCAATGTGACTTAAATGTTCTCAACTATATTAACGAAGTAAAATCGCCATACAACTTAAGAAATGCTGAACTTTCTTACAAGCCTCGTTTTGCCAGAACGATCGTTTTATTTCCATCCAACAGCCGTAGCATGGAATGCCTTGCCTTTAACTATACGACAGTCGAACTCGAATGAACTGTTTAAGAGTAGTGTGTTTTGTCATCTATTTGAGATGGAACAATCATAACGTAACATCACATATAAGCTTCATAAAACAATAATATATATATCCTCTCTTAACTTATAGCTTTTGTATATTGTAACTATATTATAATGATTTAGGTAGCTATTCTATTAGGGGAGTTATTCCCTGTTCTAGCTTTCCTGTAAAAAAATTTTTTTGTTGCTAAACCTTAATAATAATAAAAAATAATAATAATGACCGTACAACTGACGTATGCAGACAAGTACAAATAAGTATAAAAGGCGTCGTGCACTTGTCACATTTCCCCCCACCAACATTAAAAAGAAGGAACAAAATGATAATTCACTCGAAACAAAAACATGTCGTCATGACGAGAAGAAAATATCGCATGATTGTATGACAGTGTTCAAACATTGGAAGATGACAAATAAAAGGCAGACAAAAGTAATAAAATTGCATGTGAATATTCGAACAAAGCCGTACAAGTTTAAGTAAACAATCGACCTGCCTGGCGTTGTCGATGTGCTAACAAGCCGGCTTGTTTCACAATTTTCGCAAACAATGAGGCAATAACGCGGATATTCTAAAATTAAACACGCTTAAACAAGCGCCTTGGATACGACCTTGGCGGCAATTATGAGCGGATTTTTGCTTGTTTGGCTTTTCATGTAAAACTGTGTGCTCCTAAAAGACCCAGTAAAAGCCATTCCTTATAAATTGATTCAATCACAATGGATAGCTCTAACAGTTCTAAACTGTTCTTCTTAGTGATCTAGTAAGAGCCATCTATCATCTGTGTTGTAAATTGCTTTTGGATTAAAATTATGTTTTCGCGAGAAGTTCACACTGTTCTGCGCAACATCATATCACATATAGCCCATGACACTCACTACAACATGTCAGCTACGTACTCCAATATGATGTAAGCGTTCTTAACTCAGCAGTGAGTTCTGTACAACATCAGATCACTGTGGGGTAGCTCATGTCTAAAAAACATGTACTACCTCTGCATGATCTAACCATGCTTAACTCAGCAGTGAGTTCTGTACAACATCAGATCACTGTGGGGTAGCTCATATCTAACTTGAAAAACATGTACTACCTCTGCATGATCTAACCATGCTTAACTCAGCAGTGAGTTCTGTACAACATCAGATCACTGTATAGGGTATAGCTCGAGGTATAGCTCAAGTCTAAAAACATGTATTACTTTTGCATGATCTAACAATAATGCTTAACTCAGCAGTGAGTTCTGTGCAACATAAAGGTCACTGTACTGTAGCTCAAGTCTAAAAACATGTACTACTTTTGCATAATCTAACAAAGCTTAACTCAGCAGTGAGTTCTGTACAACATCAGATCACTGTGGGGTAGCTCAAATCTAAAAAACATGTACTACCTCTGCATGATCTAACCATGCTTAACTCAGCAGTGAATTCTGTACAACATCAGATCACTGAATAGGGTATAGCTCAAGTCTAAAAACATGTACTACTTTTGCATAATCTAACCATGCTTAACTCACTGCTGAGTACAACATCAGATCACTGTGGGGTAGCTTATATCTAAAAAACATGTACTACCTCTGCATGATCTAACCATGCTTAACTCAGCAGTGAGTTCTGTACAACATCAGATCACTGAAAAGGGTATAGCTCAAGTCTAAAAACATGTATTACTTTTGCATGATCTAACAATAATGCTTAACTCAGCAGTGAGTTCTGTGCAACATTAGGTCACTGTACTGTAGCTCAAATCTAAAAACATGTACTACTTTTGCATAATCTAACCATGCTTAACTCAGCAGTGAGTTCTATACAACATCAGGTCACTGTATAGGGTAGCTCATAGTATCTAAAAACATGTACTACCTCTGCATGATCTAACCATGTTTAACTCAGTAGTGAGTTCTGTACAACATCAGATCACTGTAGGGTAACTCAAGTCTAAAAAGTCTAAAACCATGTACTACTTTTGCATGATCTAACCATGCTTAACTCAGCAGTGAGTTCTGTACAACATCATATCACTTTAAGATAGCCCACATTCAAGAACACGAACTAGCTCTTCACGATATACCCTTGCTTTTCTTGGCAGATTACTCCAAGGAAACTTAAATTTAATTACAAATATTCTACGTCTATATAATCTAACCAAATTCATGAACCCTGTACGTGTCACTGTCCTTTTTAACAATCATAATTCTTAAGTACATAATAACATTATTACACCGTATACCGGTAACCAATTAATTTCCTTATCGCAATATACTCAAGTACCTCTCAAGGGCCACTCAAAATTATTTAGCCTTAGGAATCAAACATGTACAACTCAAAGTCTTAGCCAGGACGTACGATTTAGGGACTGTTTCGTAAATTTCAGAGCGTGTGCCTGCCCGGAATAGCCGATGCACGCGGTTCCACGTGGTTTCGGCAAACCTTATAGCCAAGGTTTGTGGCTATAAAGTACGCCTGATTTCGGCAACCCTTATAGCCACTGTTTGTAGCTATAAAGTACGCCTGTTTTGGGCATACCTTATATAGCCATGGTTGGTGGCTATAAAGTACGCCTGTTTTGGGCATACTTTATATAGCCATGGTTTGTGGCTATAAAGTACGCCTGTTTTCGGCATACCTTATAGCCAAGGTTTTTTTGTGGCTATAAAGTACACCTGTTTTCGGCATACCTTATAGCCAAGGTTTTTTGTGGCTATAAAGTACACCTGTTTTGGGCATACCTTATAGCCATGGTTTGTGGCTATAAAGTACGCCTGTTTTCGGCATACCTTATAGCCAAGGTTTTTTTGTGGCTATAAAGTACACCTGTTTTCGGCATACCTTATAGCCAAGGTTTTTTTGTGGCTATAAAGTACACCTGTTTTGGGCATACCTTATAGCCATGGTTTGTGGCTATAAAGTACGCCTGATTTCGGCAACCCTTATATAGCCATGGTTTGTGGCTATAAAGTAAGCCTGTTTTGGCCATACCTTATAGCTATGGTTTGCGGCTATAAAGTACGCCTGATTTCGGCAACCCTTACAGCCAAGGTCTGTGGCTATAAAGTACGCCTGTTTTCGGCATACCTTTAGCCACTGTTTGTGATTATAAAGTACGCCTGTTTTGGGCATACCTTATAGCCACGGTTTGTGGCTATAAAGTGTGCCGGATTTCGGCGTACCTGGTGGCCAAGGTTTTGTAGCATTTGGCTAACTTAACTCGACTTAAAATATGCTGTAGTTCAGTGGCGTGCTGGCAGGGGGGGCCGGGGGGCCACGGCCCCCCCCCCAGCTGGCAATTCTTGGGGGGCGCAAAAATGAAAATGGGGCGCCGAATTTTGAAAGTGGGTGGGAAAAAACACATTCTCGAAAAAATATGGTTACTTCCGCCAAGAAAAGACATACATGTCCAATACTCCCGCATTTCACGACTCGTTACAAGTTGTCACGAGTCGTGAAATCCATCGCAAGGTACAAGTCGATATAACTCGTCACGAATTTCGTCACGAGTCGTAAAAACGCAAAAATAGTACCGGGTATCATCTCTTCTGAATTTACGAACTTGCTTACATGAAGTTTGCACTGCCTAGTCTTCATATGATGTTGTGCTGATGTGGTTCACGAATTTCGTGACGAGTCGTAAAAAGGCAAAAATAGTATCGGGTATCATATCTTCTGAATTTACCTTTCCTGTATAATCCCTGCCGTAATATATATTGATGCCTGTTCTTCAAAAATGCAGTCTACAATTGGCATTGAGCGATTGCGCGTATGCAGTACGTTTGGCATTGCTAGCTTCACTCTAGCTTCACTGAAGCTTGTATATCTTTATATTTCCCGAGTGCTCCTTTATATATCGGTTAAACACTTGCATGTCTGGTGATAAAATCCTAAATAAGCCATGTCAGTGAATATTCTATACGGTTGTATAGAATATTCATGCATCATACAATATATATATATATATTGTGATCATGCCTCGTTCTTCAAAAACCACTCTGCAAGTATACTTTGGCATTGAGCGATTGCGCGTATACAATTTGGCATTGCTACTTCACTGAAGCTTGTATATCTTTATATTTACCGACGAGTCGTAAAAAGGCAAAAATAGTATCGGGTATGATATCTTCTGAATTTACCTTTCCTGTAAGCCATGCCGTAATATATATTCATGCCTGTTCTTCAAAAATGCAGTCTACAAGTATACTTATACTTCGGCATTTTTTGCTTTATTGAATTTGGTATCTTTATATAAAGTCATATCAGTGAATATTCTATACGACTGTATAGAATATTCATGCATCAAACGATATATATCTATATATTGTGATCATGCCTCGTTCTTCAAAAACCACTCTGCAAGTATACTTTGGCATTGAGCGATTGCGCGTATACAATTTGGCATTGCTAGATTCACTGAAGCTTGCATGTATAACGCCGGATTGCGCGTATACAGTTTGGTATTGCTAGCTTCACTGAAGCTTGTATATCTTTATATTTACCGAGTGCTTAAACACTTGCATGCATGGTGATAAAATCCTAAATAAGCCATATCAGTGAATATTCTATACGATTGTAAAGAATATTCATGCATCATACAATATATATATATATATATATATATATATATATATATATATATATATATATATATATATATATATATATATATATATATATATATATATATATATATATATTCTGATCATGCCTCGTTCTTCAAAAACCACTCTGCAAGTATACTTTGGCATTGAGCGATTGCGCGTATACAGTTTGCCATTGCTAGCTTCACTGAAGCTTGCATGTATGTCTTTATCATTTAACGAGTGCTCCCTTATATATCGGTTAAACACTTGTATGGTGATAAAATCCTAAATAAGCCATATCAGTGAATATTCTCATACGGTTGTATAGAATATTCATGCATCATGATACAATATATATATATATTCTCATCATGCCTCGTTCTTCAATGAACCCAGTATGAAAGTATACTTTGGCATTGAGCGATTGCGCGTATACAGTTTGGCATTGCTACTTGCTAGCTTCACTGAAGCTTGCATGTATATCTTTATATTTAACGAGTGCTCCCTTATATATCGGTTGAACACTTTCATGGTGAGAAAATCCTAAATAAACGATATAAACCTTCACCGACGTCCTTCATTAAATAATGGGCCAGTTACTGATTATGTTAGCTTAAAATGCATGCAACCAACATGTATAGTGTAAAAAACGCGATAAGCCAGGAATTTGGTTTATGGCTATATGCATGCGCGTATTTTAATTAATGACTTAAAGTGCTTTCCAAATTGATCCGAAATATCCAACTTATTTGATTGCTCTTCCTTTTTGACTTTTTTTATCATGTTTTCCAAATTATCTTGCAAATTATTTACCGCATCGTATTGCTTTGTGCCATCATCACATGGTGTCTTAAATTTCACGTACCGCTTCCTTTGTATGCCCTTCCTGTATGTTGTCATTTTTTCATTTACTTTCGCGTCAACATTATACTCAGTTACACCGTGCTTGCCGTATATACTCACTTTTTACGATCATATACAAGATTTCCAACAACTATAGGTATTGTGTTGCCACTTGGCTGGCGCACTCTTAAGTCGTCCACGACTCGTGAAACATTCCTTTTAAGTTGTCACGAGTCGTGAAATTTCAAGGATTTAACGAGTCGTACGAATTTCGTGAAGTTCACCACTTGGCTCGTGCACTCTTAAGTCCTTCACGACTCGTGAAATATTCCTCACAAGTTGTCACGAGTCGTGAAATTTCACGGATTTAACGAGTCGTACGAATTTCGTGAGGTTCACCACTTGGCTGGGTGCACTCTTAAGTCCTTCACCACTCGTGAAACATTCATTACAAGTTGTAACGAGTCGTGAAATTTCACGGATTTAACGAGTCGTACGAATTTCGTCAGGTTCACCACTTGGCTGGGCGCACTCTTAAGTCCTTCACCACTCGTGAAACATTCATTACGAGTTGTAACGAGTCGTGAAATTTCACGGATTTAACGAGTCGTACGAATTTCGTCAGGTTCACCACTTGGCTGGGTGTACTCTTAAGTCCTTCACCACTCGTGAAACATTCATTACAAGTTGTAACGAGTCGTGAAATTTCACGGATTTAACGAGTCGTACGAATTTCGTCAGGTTCACCACTTGGCTGGGTGTACTCTTAAGTCCTTCACCACTCGTGAAACATTCATTACAAGTTATCACGAGTCGTGAAATTTCACGGATTTAACGAGTCGTACGAATTTCGTGAAGTTCACCACTTGGCTGGGTGCACTCTTAAGTCCTTCACGACTCGTGAAACATTCATTACAAGTTGTAACGAGTCGTGAAATGCTGCTGTATTGGACAACCATCAGAAAAGACGTGTTTATAGGCTACAGTATAAAACAGACTAAGCGCATAGGCGACATATGTTAAATTACAGACTATTTTGCCTAACCGTATTTGCTACCTCACAGCTCACACGAAATCGTTCATATAAAAACATGATCAGTGATCACAGGCAATGTCTCATTACCGGAATATTGGTCAGGTTTCGATCGAAGCGATCACGGGAATTATGCCCTTTTTTGCTGGTATTATGCCCTTATAATATGCCCTTTATTATGCTTCACGAATCACGAGGGCGGCGCAAATTAGATAGTTGAAGTTATGATAACTGATGTAAAGTTGTATACGCAATTTATTTGTTTGCACATGAAGCATGAGTAATGTAAGTAATGAAATAATGCTGAAACATGCCCTTTGGGCAGCCAGGCAAAGAAACCTTAAAATGCATATGCGTGGGGTGCGTGTGTTATTGTGTAAAAGAGCTTTAAGTTGTAAATGTGTTCAGAACAGTAGATCAGTAGAGAACAGAATTGGGATTAAATTAATCGCTGGAAGTAGTTAGCATTGCATAATTTAAGTACTACTACTAAATTCTAACCGATTGCAAATTTCGACACGTTATAATGCCGTTTCCTGACCATCAGATTTCTGTCAAACTTTCCCCCAAAGTCCAGGAAATGGCATTTCAGAGACTCTAAATTCAAAAATTTTCTAGGGGGGCATGCCCCCGGACCCCCCTAGACAAACCTCGCACCTGCGGCACTCGGCTCGTGCCTCCGGCCCTCGTTTATCAAGTGTAACATTATAGGGGCGCATATTGGTTGACAGCCCACTGGCCCCCCAGAAAAATAGTACCCAGCACGCCACTGCTGTAGTTCCATGGGCAGACTGCATTAAGAGCAGTCACCTACTTTTACTCAAGTTTTTTAGTGAATTAAACTGATACTCAAGCCATGGGATTTTGTGCAATGTACTATATACAGTATAGCCCAGCCCTTGAAGGGGGTGTGCATTAATCACATTGATGTAAACTAGCCACCATTAAGGAATATGGTATTGAATGCATAGAATTCCAAAAATATACTATTCATGATAACAAAAATCAGCATCAGAATGTATGTATGGTTGGTATGTGATCGCACACTGAACTAATTATACCAGAGAGGTTTCCTGGGTGTCTGACAATCTTTACCACGGCTGTTCTGATAACAGGAGGGTATAGAAACAGAGAAAACCACACATTCAGCTTTATAGAAAAAGACTAATAGTCGCGCTTTATGTTAATTGCGATAATTCTTCAACTAATTGGAAAATAACTATGCGCCATTATCGTATTTACTAAGCCATGCGCGAGCCCACTCAAGTCCTAATTCAATAACCATAAATCATATTTCTGCACGAATACCAGGCGTCAGGAAGACAAGGGAATTATCAACGCAGATTATATAAGAATGTCAAGCTATATACAGTACATGTATGTCAGAGATAAACGACCGTGGAATTTCACGCAGTTCTGATACAAGGAGTTGCATTGTTATTCTCCAATTAACCAAAATTTTGATCTCAACAAGTCTAGACAAAATTCCATCATAGCATGAAAGAGCATCACAAAATTAGTAATATTCCAAAGTTTCGTTTCGAAATGTTGTAAAATGCGGATAATATAGCCTTGCGAAGTTTGTAATTTTCAGTCATTTTGTATTACGCACAGAAGTGGTAACCATTTCCCGTTTGTAATCTAAAATGACTGAAAATTGCAAACTTCGCAAGGCTACATTATCCGCATTTTACAACATTTTGCAACGAAACATTGGAGTATTACTAATTTTGTGACGCTCTTTCAAGCTGTGATGAAATTTTTGTCTAGACTTGTTGAGTTCAAAATTTTGGTTAATTGGGGATTGGTCCATTGAAGAACAGGAAATTGATAGAGACTTGTCTAGATCAAAATTTTGTTCATTAGGTAATAGGTCCATTTGATCAAGCCCGAGGCGAAGCCGAGGACTGGATGAAAATGCGAGGATCTTGAAATCTAGTCCAATCCGAATTGGAGGATTTGAAATGACATCTCATATACGAATATATCACTACTTAAAATGAGGTGAATTAATTTGATCCAGTCCAAGGACTGAATTAATTTTGATCCAGTTCTAGGATTGGATCAATATACTTCACCACGTATCCAGTATTATCTTTTGAGCAAATTAAAGCAACACGGTGGTTGCCTAATTTAACAATTATGAGTTCAAGTACAAACAATTCGAGAAGCGAAACCGTACTTTATTATGACTTCGAGAATTTGCGCACTCTTTCAACATTTCGTAACCAAAGACGTGAACAAAGAATCGTATATGTGTTGAGTAATTACAAACATGCTCTTGGTTATATAGATCAGCGGCTATGCTTTTGGAAGCCTAGAGCTGATATAAATATGTATGCTGCAGGTATATGAATCAAAAATCTTGAACGGTCTAATCTCAAACTCATTAATAATTCATTCATATACCTGCAGCATACATATTTATATCAGCTCTAGGCTTCCAAAAGCATAGCCGCTGATCTATATAACCAAGAGCATGTTTGTAATTACTCAACACATATACGATTCTTTGTTCACGTCTTTGGTTACGAAATGTTGAAAGAGTGCGCAAATTCTCGAAGTCATAATAAAGTACGGTTTCGCTTCTCGAATAGACCTTTCCATTATAGACTAATTTTAAAACTAGGCAAGGAGATGCAAATAAATCACCACAGCTAGAAAGAGCATAATAAAATGAGTATATTTGCAAAGTTTGATTGCGAAATGTAGTAAAATGCGGAAAATATAGCCTTGCAAAGTTTTCAAATTTTGTATACTTTTGTATTACGTGTGGAAATTGCTACCATTTTCGGCCCAAATGTGCAGGCAGCAATTTCCGCACGCAATACAAAAGTATACAAAATTTGCGAACTTTGCAAGGCTATGTTTTCCTCATTTTACAACATTTCGCAACCAAACTTTGTAATTTTACTACTTTTAGCATGCTCTTTCTAGCTGTGGTGATTTATTTACATCTCCTTGCCTAGTTTTAAAATTATAGTCTATAATGGGAATTGCATGTCTATTGTTTGTACTTGAACTCATAATTGTTAAATTAGCTTTGAGGATGATGAAAGGGGATAAAATCATCATTAAATATTTATTAGCCATTGATAATAAAATCAATATAAAAATGTAACAACAGAAAAAATTAAATAAATAACAAAAGAATGTAAAGTCCTGGCAGAACAGTCACGCTATTTTCTAGATTAACAAAATCGCTATAGTGTTCCAACTATTTTTTAACTTAAATAGATCGAATACATGATAGTGTTGGGAAAACATTAAGAAAAGCTAACCATGCAGGGACACGTGACTGCCAATTCTCGTGCACTCTCGCAGTCGTCGTGTGATCTGGGTGGGTTTAACTCATCAAATCAAGCACTATGTCAATGTGTAAAAAAACTATAGCTATTTATCTCACAACCTGTACTGTATCACATCACGTTCAAAGATCAGATGGAATATATGTGAAAAGCATAATGCGAAAAACACATCACGTATATATTTTTATACGAAATAGTTGAAATGGTAGCGGCCTTTGCCTCATTCCCAAGAATCATCCTTTTGTATAAGTATATTTGCATTCAGACAAGACCAAACAGATTTATTTTTAAAAGAGTTCTAGTGACGTTCTCCAAATTTGTGCAACAGCCAAAAAACGGTATTTTTCGCACAGTATCTTTGCAAAGGAATTCAAAGTATGAAAATATTTCGAGGTCAGAACATGCCGGCGAACAGATCAAAGCAACGTAGCGACCACATCTGTTTTGAAGAGACATAGGAAGTATTCGAATGCAATATTTGTCTGTCTCTGTTTAGTCTTTGTATTAAACGATACCGCATGATAAGACAATCATTATGTCAACTATGGGTGGTATATATAAGAATGTTGCAGCAATGTATCTCGCTAAAACACTCTAGTCAAAATTTTCCTATAGTAAACCGAGAAGTAAACCTAACTTAATATTCGTAGTTAAATTTCCTGGTTTGACTTTTCTCTCTATACTATATTCTAGCTTAATCTTTGCCAATGTATACTATGGGACAAAGCTTGTTCCGGCTATAGACTAAATTTTGATCTAGGCAAGAAGAACAAAATCTATCACCACAAAAGAGCATGTTAAAATTAGTATAATTGCAAAGTTTGGTTGCGAAATGGTTAAGATTTGGTTAAGATTTTACCAAAATTTTACCAAAAAAAGTCATTACCAATTTTTTTTTGACAATTCACGAAATTTGAACAAAAATGAAACTTTTTACCAAGTCTGATCACACTGAACACAAATTGACTTTTATGCGCGTTGATAAAGGGCATGCTAATCGCACTCTCAAACGGTTAGCAGAGCTCATAACAGGCCCCTAGAGCACGTATATACATTAATGTAAACTGTATAGGGAGACACCTTAATTTGCATTACGCACGGGAAAATGCACCACATTTAAGCCGAAAGTGGTGCATTATCCCACGCGTAATAATTAATAAAAAAATTGGCAAATTTCGTAGGGCCATATTTTCCTCATTTTACAACATTTCGCAACCAAATTTTGCAATTTTACTCATTTTAAGATGCTCTTTCCAGCTATGGTAATGGATTTCAATCTTCTTGTGTCGATCAAAATTTAGTCTATAGATGGAAACATCTATTCAGTAAAATTGAAAAGAAAACTCCCCATGTAATCAGCCCAGACAGCCCTTAATATTAAACTCAATGAAATACTATCAAAGGCGATTGCCTAACCTCATTCTATATCTCATCGCTTTGCCAGGTTGTTTGGAACAAAATGCAATCGCTGTGGCGAACCAATCCCGTCCAACGAGCTGGTGATGAGAACCGCTGGCCATGTGTATCACATCAACTGTTTCGCGTGCGTCGTCTGCGAGTGTCGCTTAGAGAAAGGCCAGGAATTCGCGCTGAAAGAGAACAAGTTATACTGTAAAGACCATTTCACAAAACTTTCGAATATCAATAATATCAAACAAGAACGTAAGTGCATTTAGTTGCCGTGATCTCTTGGTAAACTGGAACGATCAAGTCCCATGATTGGTTGAAACCAAATTTGAAGCCAAGCGCGGGAGCCGCCAGGGGTGGGAAAAATATTTTACTTTCTGGGACCGCCAAAGCCAAAGGGCAATAAAAAATTTTCTGTGATAAATCAAGTAAATCAATACTTGGACACTGTAACCGTATAATACTATAACAAGTTGTCAAACTGAATGTCATGCTATATTTTCGCAGAAAAAAAATTTCAGTGACAGTACACTGAGAATCTTAATAATACTTTTAGGAATATGAGAGAACTAATTCAGATAACATCAGGGGTCTGATCCTGAGGTAAATTTACAGATACAAAAGGGGGGGGATCTTGGGGCATGCTCCGCCAGAAAATTTTGAAAACCCAGTGTCTCAGATTGGCTAAAAATGCATTTGCCGTACAACATTTGTTACATCATTCTATAATCTATACATTTATACACTATCAGACTATCGTACTGTTAAGATGGACTTATCATACCTGCAGTACAGGTAGCATTCTCTCTATTGGTTAGAGTTTTCCCTCTGAATTTATCCTTTTATCTAAATTTTTACAATTATATTTTTCTTTCTTGGGGAAATGTTTTCTGGGAACTCAAAATATTTTCTGGGACCAATGGTCCCGTGTTCCGATACTTTTTCCACCCCTGCATGGGAGCCGCGCGGGATAAGTGAATTTTCGAAAAGACTAGGGAGAGTTTCGGGAAATTCAGTCAAAAATTTATTTTTAGCGAAAATTAGCAAGAAATTTGATATTTTTTATCAGAACGCTTCAATTTTAAAATTGAAACCAAGTACGTTCCGGAAACATTTTTATTAAATTTCAGATGCTGTTGAAAGTTTTTTTTAGCTTTTTTCCTTGTTGAAATACAGCTGTTTAGTGCCCGAAAACAGATGTCTATTAGAGTTTTAGGCTTCAAAGATGGCGGTCAAGTTAGCGTTACTAATTACACAATACACAACCTGCATGTTAGACTAATTTTTTATCCAGGCAGAAAAAGTAAATTCCCGTAAAGAACTTGTTAAAATTAGTAAAATTGCAAAATTTGTTTGCGAAATGTTGTAAAATACGGAAAATATAGCCTTGCGAAGTTTGCATATTTTGTATATGTTTGTAAATTGCCATTTTTTTCCGAAAATGGTAATAATTTGCGCACGTAATACAAACATGTACAAAATTTGCAAACTTTGCAAGGCTATATTTACCAAGCTTTACAACATTTCGCAACCAAATTTTGCAATTTTACTAATTTCATTATGTTCTTTTTAGCTGTGGTGTTTGATTCCCTTCTCTTTACTTAGATTAAAATTTAGTCTAACATGCAAGTTGTCCATTGAGCTCCATAGATATCTGGATTGAGAACTCGCTTCCAAAATTTCCAAAAGAAAAGAAAAAATGTTTCATATGGAGAATTTTATCGCACTTAACTGAGATCCTACCTAGCGCAAGCTGAGATCTCACTTAGCTGGGCTGGTTCGTGTCTCGTATAAACACAAACAGTGAGACCAGATTTTTTCAGCAGTCATTACCGAACTGTTCTTCAAATTTTACTAAATTAAGAAAAATTTTACCAAATGTCGGCTTCGCAAATAATTACGTCATATTAATGCCAAAAAATAATAGTTACGTCATCAAAGTAGAAAAAATATGCCCAAAAAGCTATCTCGAAATACTTGTTGCTTTCATCGTATTGAAGTTTTTGCTAATGATAAGGTTTTATTTCTTAGGCTTGGCAATTCTGTTCATCACTTTGAGCACGTTATTAAACAAGAAACATACATTTTTCCAAATGATTGTTAATAATTAAAACCTTTAAGATTTTACCAAAATTTTACCAAAAAAAGTCATTACCAAATTGTTTTTGACAATTCACGAAATTTTAACAAAAATAAAACTTTTTACCAAGTCTGATCACACTGAACACAAACTGACTTTTACTGTATACGCGTTGATAAAGGGCATGCTAATCGCACTCAGACGGTTAGCAGAGCTCATAACAGGCCCCTAGAGCACGTATATACATTTGTAAACTGTATAGGGAGACACCTTAACCAAATTAAAACAATCTTTTCCTCAGGAGAAGAGAATTCAGACAGCGAAGACCCGGACAGTGATACGGATTCTGACGGCAAGAAACCCGCCAAACGACCTCGCACGATATTGACAAGTCAACAGAGGAAGATATTTAAATCATCTTTTGAAGTCAGTTCAAAACCATGTCGGAAGGTGCGGATAACATTTTACTGAGCTTCTTCAGTACACTGTAAATTTCACGGAGTTCAATAAACTCCAAAACTGTTTCTCTGTTCCCGTTTTTGGTGACAGAATAACCAACTCCTGGAAATTAACATTTAACAGTGCAACAATGGACCATTTGCATTATAGATTAAATTTTGATCTAAACAAGTCTAGACAAAAATTTCATCACAGCTTGAAAGAGCATCACAAAATTAGTAATATTCCAAAGTTTCGTTGCGAAATGTTGTAAAATGCGGATAATATAGCCTTGCGAAGTTTACCGTTTTTCAGTCATTTTGTATTACAAACGGGAAATTGACAGCCCCAAAGGGTATTGGGCTGTCAATTTCCCCCGCGTAATGCAAAATGCTGAAAAACGGCAAACTTCGCAAGGCTATATTATCCGCATTTTACAGCATTTCGCAACGAAACTTTGGAATATTACTAATTTTGTGATGCTCTTTCAAGCTATGATGTCTAGACTTGTTTAGATCAAAATTTAGTCTATAATGCAAATGGTCCATTCTGTGTTGGGCTTCTCGCGTCGCCCTTGGGATCAAGTTTAGTTTAGGTTTTCTCCAGGTAATAAAACTGGATCAATTGGGAACGGCCTATCTAAGACCTCTAGGGAGAACATGTTAGAACTGATTGAGTTATCAAATAAAAAATAGAAGTTAGTTCAATAGACAACTTGAATGTTAGACAAATTTTTGATCTGGCCGATCTAGACAAAAAAAAAGTAAATTCCCGATAAGAAGCCGAAAATGGTAACAATTTCCGCTCGTAATACAAATATACTGAAAATATGCAAACTTTACAAAGCTATATTTTCCAAGCTTTACAACATTTCGCAACCAAATTTTGCACTTTTACTAATTTTAGTATGTTCTTTTCAGCTGTGGTGTGTGATTCCCTTTTCTCTGCTTAGATTAAAATTTAGTCTAACATGCAAGTTGTCCATTAAGTTTATTTGAATTATTTCAGTACAAATATATTGATCTTCAAATGTGTCCCTAGGTTCGGGAAGAGTTATCACGTGAAACTGGTCTTAGCGTACGCGTTGTACAAGTCTGGTTCCAGAATCAAAGAGCTAAGGTAAATATACGATCGAAGGCCTCGGAAAACATCAGTTTCTCTTCAAGAAAACAGGAAAGCTTGAATTGAATAAAAACGGCGATATACGAAATACCATTTATATTTTGAGTTTTTAAAGATTACGATTAGGAGGCAAGGGAAACGTTCTCGTTCTAGTTTCAAACAGCAGGACCGGACAGTGCTGCATGTATGCTTATAAACCTGAGACCAACCCCAAATTATGATTTTTGGTATGTGTAGTATTTGTGTCATTCAAAGAAGGCATGTAATATATCTTTCTATTACTAGAACCTTATCTTGATCAAATTCTTCACTGTCAAAACTTCCGGTCCTTAGATGAAATTTCGAAGCAAACAATGAAATTATTCATCAAATGACACCAAAACCGGCAACTTTGACATTGAAAACTTTGATGAAGACGAGTTTTTTTACTATGAAGATATATTAGATTTCTTCTCAGGATTATTCAAATAAATTTCGCATTTTAAAGGCACCTCAATAGGGGTGAAAGATTCAAAACGCCATTCAAAGCCAAATGCATGAACCTGAGAGCAGGTTCAGCACTCAAGTGCCCCACATTTCTAACTTACCTTCATACATTCATACTAGATCAAGAAACTGGCTCGAAGGAATAACCCAGATTCGGACAATGCTGCCAGTTGTAGGGTGACGAACAGACAGAGGCCAGGAAAGAAATCTAAGGAAGAAAAAGGTGGGACACTTTAAGAAGTACAAAACAAACTTTGTATAGAACGCGAAAACGGATTGATTAAAATCCACGCTCAAAACAGAATGTGACACGAAAAGCACATTTCTCTCTTCAATAAGACAATATTCTAGGAGGAAACCTAAACTAAACTAACTTTATCAATACTGGATAGCTCTATCAGTTCTAAACTGTTCTTACTAGAGGTCCAGTAACGGTAATCTCTTTTTTCATCCAGTGTTACTACAGGAGGAAACCTAAACTAAACTAACTTTATTTATACTGGATAGCTCTATCAGTTCTAAACTGTTCTTCCTAGAGGTCCAGTAACGGTAATCTCTTTTTTCATCCAGTGTTACTACAAGAGGAAACCTAAACTAAACTAACTTTATTTATACTGGATAGCTCTATCAGTTCTAAACTGTTCTCCCTAGAGGTCCAGTACGAGTCATCTCTTAGACTTAGTGATCCAGTGTTACTACAGGAGGAAACCTAAACTAAACTAACTTTATTTATACTGGATAACTCTATTAGTTGTAAACTGTTCTTCCTAGAGATCCAGTACGAGTCATCTCTTACTGATCCAGTGTTACTACAGGAGGAAACCTAAACTAAACAAACTTTATTTATACTGAATCTACTGTAGCTCTATCAGTTCTAAACTGTTCTTCCTAGAGGTCCAGTACGAGTCATCACTTACTGATCCAGTGTTACTACAGGAGGAAACCTAAACTAAACTAACTTTATTTATACTGGATCAAGCTCTATCAGTTCTAAAGTCTTTTCCATTAACACTAACTTCTGTAAATGAGATATCCACAACTAATTACAAAATTTTCTCATTACAGACAGCAGCAAAAAGAACTCGAACGGTTGCAACAGTCCTCTATCCATGGGTCAACCTGTTACCCTACCATTACCCCCGATGTCCCATTATACTAACCTAGGTCCCGTCATAACCCCAGGCCAATACCCTGGGGCACCCAATCACATGGCCCAGATGATGGGTTTCCCGTTCCCGCCAAATATGAAAGCACTCGAACCTATACCAGAAATGTCGTCACCCATGGATGGACTTTCGGTCATGGAGGATCAGATGTCCGGTCAGGTACAGTTCTCCGACCCGTCAGAGCTGAATAGTCTAACGGTGGGAAATTTGAACACGCAAAACGGACAAAATCATTTAGAACTTATGCATGACATGTTGAATTCGTTTTAGCTAAGCGGATTGTACAGTATAGGATAGATATGAGCTAAATATTTTATGAAATTTGCACCATATGCCAGCCCACATGATAAAGGCCTTTTGCACAGGACAAATGTTTTTCTTATGGAGCAAGAATTCAGTTAAATATTGGGCTTGTGGTTATTATAAATGATTCTTTATCAGAATCTGTAAAATATATAGTATATATAATGAATTTGCTTAACCTTTGCTGGGGTGTCTATGGGTAAAGCGCATGGACCCAGGCTCTATTTGCCCGCACCAGTCGCAGGCAAATAGAGCCTGGGTTTCATGTGGGTAAAGCTGCATTTGGGCAATTCTGCCTGTGGGTCATTCCAGAAAACATACACACCTCTCCCATGGACGAAATTGGAAGTTACCCCCTTCCCCCTAGTACATTTTACTGTTCAAAAGTGCCCCCCCCCCCCCAAGACAGTACAACTGTTCTCTGTTGAGGGAGTTTGGATCTTTTCTGGAACAATCCAATACTACCATGGAATTGTTTGTTTACAACAAGCACACAGATTTTATAGCATTCAGAAAATATTATAAATGTAATTATTTATTCGGAATAGTACTTTTCAAAGGTCGTAAAATCTTCACAGCAAAATAAGACAATTATACACTCGTAAAAATTCAAGCTTTTCTTGGCTTCTGAGATCAGGAAGATGGTCTTATTTTGCTGTAAGGACATTGACTATATCTGTAAAAAGCAAACTTGTGGAAATACTTGTTAAATACTAGCAAAATATTAAAATTTAAATAAATAAAATGGACAAAATAAATCTGCTTGTTTGATGTCATGAACATGTTTTGAATGGGGAGTAAATAATATTCAAAGAAGAATGTTTTATTGTTTTAAATGCCAAATTTGTATTAGGAGATCTGACTAGGGCAAATTTTCTATAGACATTATTTCTATAATTGCTATTTAACGTAAAGCGCCACATAACTTGTTCTTTAAACCATTAGTGAAAATGGCCTCTTTTCTAGTTTGAAAGTGGCCTTTCCCAATACAACATTTCAAGTAAAACATTCCTCAAAATGCAAAAGGACTTTAGAAGTCCAAATTTTTCTCAGGAACCCCTCAATTTGTGCATGCTAAATCCATGTGTTGTACATACTATTAGGATGTTTTCAACCCTCCCAAAACAACCTTGGGTATGCCAGGGAGACTGGCGCTCCTTTTCAGGCCATTTCATTGGCGGTAAGTTACACTGAAATCAGACTGGAAGGTTTCAAAATCGTGCACCCGAGATTTCGAAAACTGCATATGCCCGAGATCTCAGTTGCATGATACAAACTTTCCACAAAGGTACTGGGTTATTAACAATGGAAGGTCCTTGCCGGAGGCCCCATACTGCAAATGTAAAGTTTTTATGTTGGAGAAAATTAATTTCCTGCACAAAAATTCTTGCAATTATGGAAATCTGTACAAATTTTTTCAATATTCCTATTTGACCAAAGCGCTTTCTGACTGCAGGATCCTTAAATCGGTTTGAAATTTTATGTTAAAATATCTGCGATTTCTGCACATATTTTTCCTAAAGAAAAAAATTTCCTGTGCAAAATAAAACTTTTCAATATGTACCTGGAGCTGTAAAAATAATAGTTAATAGAGAAATAATAGGGTTCCTTGGACAGAACGCAAGCGATTTAATAGTATACGTCGAATTTTGGTCGTGTCGAAATATGCAATTAAGACAAATAGATAATGAGATGATAAACCTCATTAAGCTTCATTATCTATTGTTTGAATTGCAGTTAGTTAAAACTATATTATGAATGTTATAATCAATGTAAGTAATACTTGCTTTAAAAATATCGAGAAAGCTTCGGGCGGGACATTGGCACAGAATAAGCATTGGCCCGTGGTCATTGAACTGGTAGTGATATCCTGTCCATTTTGAAAAATTCATTTTTTCGCTTTAACAAATCATTCTGGTTGATATTTTGTGTTTTGAACCTACCTTTGCACAAAACGAGACCATTTTCGACTGCGCAGGACCTCTCGTTTATGCCAAAACACAGAAAATCTCTTCAAAAATGCGATATAAAACAAATGTTTATATAAATTGCAACAAACTTCCCAAACAGGACATTTAAATTTGGTCTCAAAATCTGCACCCGATTCGTGAGTTTGACTCCGCCTGCCACCCGCCGCCAAAAATGTCGCAGATTGCTCTTCGGCAAAATCCGAGCCACATTCTGAGGGTTAGCACTATTTTCCATCCAGCAAACTGACCTAACGTCGTTTTCGGAAGTAGTGTTAAATGGCTATGTAACACAAACCCTACCCCTACTCTAACCCCTAGCCCTAACCTCAACCCTAACCCTAACCCAAATAATAAACAAATCCAAAAAGAAACGACTTTAGAAAATTGGTAGGGCGGTTTCCTGGATGGAAAATAGTGCGAACCCATTCTGAGCTCAGCACACTGATCTGGCTCAGCATTATCCCACGCCGGTTTGTGGCTATAAAGGATACCTGATTTCAGTATATCTTATAGCCTCGGCGGTCTGTGGATATAAAGTATACCGGATTTCAGTATATCTTATAGCCACGGCGGTTTGTGGCTATAAAGGATACCTGATTTCAGTATATCTTATAGCCACGGCGGTTTGTGGCTATAAAGGATACCTGATTTCAGTATATCTTATAGCCTCGGCGGTCTGTGGCTATAAAGGATACCTGATTTCAGTATATCTTATAGCCACGGCGGTCTGTGGCTATAAAGGATACCTGATTTCAGTATATCTTATAGCCACGGCGGTATGTGGCTATAAAGTATACCGGATTTCAGTATACCTTATAGCCACCGGTTTGGGGCTATAAAGATATGACATTGCTTTTTAGTCTTCAATATTTGAGTGAGTCATGCCTCGGAAATGACAATAAATTTACCCAACCCTTGAATTATTTTGTTTTTCACTTAAAGGACATTGGCACCCAAAATTTTTATTACTTATATCTCTTAGGTATACTTGCGGAATATTTAATTTCATATTTTGGCCGGTTTGTCGCGTTTAGTTGCTGAGAAAATTTGATAGAAAGTTCAACAGTTGTCCGCCATTTTGAAAATAAGCGCGTACGCTAATTTATGCCTCAAAATACATTATCTGACGTCATTGGCTGGGTAAAAACAATTTCATGACTATAAACAATACCGAGTATTGCCACGCGTAGTGCATTTGAACCGAAACAAAAGGCAGCAAAGTTTTACCAAGTATGTAATTTGTTT